ATGGCGCAGGGGAAGGGGAGCCGATGAAGAACGGGGCGGAGAGCCTACAGCAAGGTCACGGGAGAGCGGAATGCACAGAAAACAAAGCAAACCAACCAGGATAGACACCTTGCCAACCAGTGAGGGAAGGCCAACCATTGGAAAGCTGTTGCAGCAGGTGATGGTCACAGGAGATGGCGCAGGGGAAGGGGAGGGGGCGCAGGAGATTTCCACCCACTCCACAAACCATCAACAAAAACATCGCTCCATCTTCTGATACTTGTACTTGTAGCGCGCAGCTTTCCAGCTGGAGCGAGGCCGTGTCTATGAATAGTGTTACGCCATCTTATGTGAGTGTTCTGAATTGCCCAAATGCGCCATCTTATTTTTTGTCTGCGCCATCTATCACGAACGTAGTGTAGTTCACATGTTGCGCACGCATTCACAAGCGCGTACAAGCATGTGGGACTCTTTGCTGCAACTCACGCAACTGAGAACTGTCTCATTGTTGAGAGGTCCTTTGACAACAATTTCTTGTCAAGGCAGTCATAGGTTTTGAAGATGATGCCCAAGCCCTGGCGGACGTGGCCCTCCCGCAGCCAGCAAGGTGTCAAGAAGCTACTTGGAGAAGACTCCATTTTGGATTTGGATTCTGGGGTGATTTCGGGTGTGTTGGTACAAGGTGGTGCCAGTTCATAAAGAAATATGAAGAGGCCGAGGGCCCAAAGCTACATTTGTGGAGGTGACAAACCCAAGTCGCACGCTGCCCGAAGAAAGAACCTTTTTCCACGCGGCAATTCAGCAAACACTTCATGTGGTGCACGCCTGTCACGGTGGTGTTTTTACAGAAACTGTTGACACTGTTGAGAGAGACAGTTATATAAACAAAAAAACGTTCCGAACGTAGAAAGACGGCGCGTTCCGTACACGGCTGTTGACGGTGCTAGTCTGTGATCCGAGGTTTGGCCCCAATCTGCTACCCTTTGGATGAGCAATGGTGGCACCATGTCAGCCTCATGCCAAGTGCGTCCGGAGGCACCATGCCTCGCAGCTCAAGCTTGTCGACATTCAAGGTGCTGCACAACGATGATGGTGAGAACTTCTTGATGTTGCTGGATGGCACCAAAAGTGTGCCTTGTGCAAATTGTCCTTCCTAAGCAGCTTTGTTCCGGCATGTTTTTTGCTCGTTGAGTGATATGTTCCCTCTCGCTGTCGCTTGGAGCATTTATTGATTCCACAAAACTGGAGGTCATGCTGGTACACCAGGATGATGCACCAAACATCTACGCGCATATTGCCAAGGCCACAAGGGACTCTGGTTGTTTGGCCTCATTTGCGTTTGACTCGTTTTCCGGCTTTGCCACGGCTATGGAACGTGTGCCGTGGTCATTCGATCTCTTCTTTCAACTTGTGTTGCGAGGTTCGCGGGACATCTCCAGTTCGACAGGACGTCAGTTTGCGAGTCAGCAAATCACACAATGTGGAGATGCTTTGGTCTTGGGTTGCCGTGTTACGCGCGAACACCTGGTAGGATTTTGTTGACCTTGTCATGTTTCCACGATTTGGAAACATTACTTGGCTGCATGGTGAAATCGGGCCCGGTGATATTCTGTTCATTCCACACACCTATTGGCATCAGGCTGGGCTAATTAAACCAAGGTCAATTTGCATCATTGTGTATCCAACTTGAAAAACTGACTTGCCTCAGGTGAATTCCAAAGGTCGAAACTTGGCGCTAAACATTTGGAGCCTCAGTGGCAATGGGCATGAATGTGCATGTTGCTTTGGCTTGCACAGTTCCATGAAATTTGAGAAAGGGCATATCATATCAGGTGGCCAAGGCAGGCTGCATCTCAGGTGGAGTCATGAAGCGGATTGGCGATGGTGGGATTTGAACCAGCACCTCATCGGCGGTTGTGGACGCACTACCAGGCTGCAAATGGCCTCATTCGCGAATCCCATTGGTCTCAAGTTGTCCTGGAGAAAGAGCAGTTGTGTTTCCCAATCTTCCTGACAGTTTTTCTCTTCAAGACTGCATTGCCAAGGTATGATGCAACTCAATTTGGGACATCGAAACTGCCCTCGTTCAATGAGTTCCTTTGTCAATGCAAATCCAAGAATGATTCCGCGGACTACTATGGAAAGCAGATGTGTGCAGTCTCAGGATATTTTAGGTCTTAGGTGTGTTCTTTTCTTTCTCCGATATATGCGCGTGTCAGATTATTTGTTTCTCTCCCGGTGTGTTCACGTGCACTTGAGATGGCGCACAGTAACCCTAATGACCTGGATGACTATGGATGACAGAACCCTTAATCAAGGGTGATGCTTCCATTGCAATTCCCAAGGGACATTGGAACGTTTCAACATCAGGTTGTTTGCCTTTGTGTTTACTGTCGTAACGTCTCAAGCAAGTAATAGGCGGTTTGGCTGGTGGCTTGCAATACTGTCCCGGATTGATGAGGTTCAAGAGCAAGGCCAGCAAAAGCGTCAAGTGCCCCTTGGCCATTCGATTCTTTTTGGGCCGTCTTTGAGGTGTGCATTGCATTGTGGGGCTAAAGTCGGGAGATTCCAAATTGTAAAAGGCATGTTGCACCGTTTTGCACCATTGTGCGACCACCAGACAGGCACACCACTACCTTCTCACCAGACATTGGCAGAAGGCAAGCTTGTGGATGAAGGTCAGACCAAGGAATCTCAGCTGATAACAAAGCCCTGGCAAATCACTGCTATGTGGCACATGAATCTACTATATAGTTGTATAATATGGGTCAAAAACTGTGGGAGGCATAAACAGAAAGATTCGCTTGCTGATACTCCGGCCCCGGCAGCCGCAGTGAGCTGAGGAGATTATTCGGAAGAAAAGAGCGAAAGCCGATTCTAGCCAGCATAGGACACACCTGCAGTCCAGGAGATGATGTTTTGGTGAAAGCTGAGGCAAAACGTCAGAACAAAGGTGGACACCAGGAGCTATGACAGGGGCGGCCTTGGAAAAGCCACTGCAGAGCAGTCGCACAGCCTTTCAGATTTGAGCAGTGATTGAGCTACTTGTACCAGAGACCCCAACATGTCCCGGCATTCTGAGCTCGATGTGAAGACGGAGCGTCCTGCCTTTGCATGCGACCCCCAAGAGAAGGATCAAACCACAGGCTTCGCCATGGCACAAGGAAAAGAAGGGGTGACGCATGTGGCCGATGTTCAGCATGAATTGACCTTTGGGCTTCATGCTTGATTCCACTCTTTCCCTGTTTTTGAGTACCAAGGCTACCCAAGGAAGTCAAGGCACAATTGCTACCGGTGTGGAATAGGCGAACAGGTTCATTGTGTGGCACATTAAGCTTGGAGGCTGACCCTGCAACGCGACATGGCCTACATGCAAGAGGCAGTATATTGTTTGTCGATGCATGAAGATGTGTATTAATATATATATATATATATTGTGTTTATTTTTGTTAGTCTGTAGCTGATGTGGGGCATCATGCAAAGAGGGCATGAGGCAGCACATACTTAGGCGGAGTTGCTTCACTTGCTGGCGGAGCTCTTTACCACCGCAAACTTGTCAAGTCCTTGCCCCAAGGAGCTGACACTCACTCCAGGCAGGTCTCAGCAGTTAGATCTCACGATGTACATGCATGATGTCATGAATCTTTGACCGAGGTCGTGTCGAGCTACATTTGTCGGATACGAGGCTGTTGCGTCTATTGCTGGAGGCACGCGGCCTTTCATGTCCACGGGTACTGTACGATGCCCTCAGAACCAAAAGTGCTGAACAGGCTGCCCACCAGCGAGCCCTCCGGGAGGCAGTGGGTGTTTTGATCTCCAGCTTTTCGACACTGCACAAGCACTCAAGTATATATCCAAGCAAGGCGCACTCTGGAGGTACTTCACTCAGTGACTCGTTGCAACATTTTTCTGACCCTTTAAGAATGCGGTATTTATCATCGAACCAACATGGCATAGTCGTCATGCGCCAAGGTGCAGTAAAGCCAGGGCCGAAGGCACTGGGAACTAACTAGATGAATCTTGAAAAAATATGGAAGACATTTGTTCAAGAAATGGGAAGCCTTGAGATTATGTGGTTGCTGTGTGTTGCTGCCTGGTGCCATGGGAATCCAGTTGCCTTCCAATTCAGCACCTGCTGTTGACAGAAGTTCATACGTGCTGCAGGCTCTTCAAGCAGACACGGATCGAAATGCAGTCAGCGGTTTGGCCCTCACTTGGCCTACCACACTGCACATGCATATGCACTTACATCATCCACTGGTACGTAGAGCGGCCCACATACACACACAAACAATATCCAGGATACACCAGGATATATACATGTTGTAAGGCTACAACCCTGTGCCCTTAGAATCCTACAGATGTTTGGCGAGCGAGTTTGCAAACTCCTCCCTCTACCGGGAGTAGGCTGAGATTTGCCGTATTTTCGTGATACCATGCTCAGACAGGGCTTTTGTATTAATTCATTGACTTCTTCGTGTGTTTTCACGAAAGGTTGCGGTTAGGCTACCTGAGTTTTCCTTTTGCATTAGCAAAAATGAATTATAACCAGAGTGGAGGGAGGCCTATCTCACTGAGAATCGCCTTCGGTCATTTTAGTGGCCGGGGGGGGCCACGGGACCCCCCCTTTCAACTCCACCCTGGCGCGTTTTTGTCAACGGGTAGAAAACACCGTAAATACCGGAATTTTCAGCTCCTCCAGTCTTCAAGAGTGGCCTCAAACCACGCAATTTACATGGCTTTTTGTGGCTGTCCGGCAAAAAACCTCGTAAAAACCGATGGTTTTTGAGGTGCCTAGGCTTCAAAAATGGTCGAAAAATTATCAGAAACCTGGAAAGATTCTGTCGGAAAGGTTTTTTTTGGCTTTTGAAGGCTTCGACATTGCAAAAAACGACGGTATTTGCACGGGTTTGCGTGCCTTCCCGGCACAAAACCCTGTAAATATCGATGGTTTTAAGCTATGTAGGCTTCAAAGTGGCCACAAACTCGGCCGATCCAAGCACAGAAGTTCGTCTCTCCCATACAATGAACCTCGACTCTTTTTTCACGGTGTACGATTTAAGGTTTGCAGTGTGGCATTTTGCCTCCTGGACTTCTATCAGGGTTACTTGTGATTGCCTGCTACCTTTCGTTCACCCCCTCCTCTCTCAAGTTAATGTTCTTGAACTTTGTGTGAGGTGCTGGGGAGCGACTGCGTGGCCGCATGTTGGAGGCTTGACACACCAGGGCCATTGCTACAATGGTGTGACACAGCCACACGGTATCCCTTTGGAGGCCCTGCGAAGGCAAGCAGCTACTGCATCTGGACTGGGATGTCAAGAATTCCCCAATATCTATGTACGTAGGTGGGTGGGTACGTACGTACGTATGTAATGTAATGTAAGGTAATGTAATTAATGTAATTAATGCATGTATGTATGGTATCTAATGTAATGGTATGGTCTGGTCTGGTATGTATGTATGTATGAATGTTCCTTTAGAGTGGTTGTTGCTTTGGAAGGCCTAAAAGCCAGTGCTCTGCAAAAGTGGCACATGATGTCGGCGATGCCCCCAAAAATGCCCGTGCACTTCTGGCACCCCCGGTGCCCAAAAATAGCTATATATATGTGAAAGAACTGCTCCTAGAGTGGTTGCAGGGACTGTGAGCTTGGCATGTTGCCAGGGCCGGTTCAAAAGAAGTCCACCGTCATTTCATGCCCTCTTCGTCTTCCATGTGTGTGGTGCTCTCATCGTTGGGGTGTGGAGTGACCGTGTCGTGTCGTCGTCCAGGGCCGTGCCTATGGCCAGAGAGCCTGGTTGGTTCTCATCATGGTCATCTCCAGGTGTGCCACCTTCCTCGATCTCCATGGCATGCTCTATAAAGAGCTTGGTGGGCCTTGGCTCTGACATCGGGTCATCTTCGGCTGGGGGCGTGGCTGGTAAAGTATGCCCGCAGAGTTGGGCTAGCCTGCATTGTGGCCGGGCACGGCTTCAGGGCCTGTGCCTGGTGGATGCGGATCTTCACAGACTTCACATTGTAGCTCGCTTCCATCGAGGCACTTTTGTACCAGCCGCTTCTTGTGTTGTTTGGTGTGTTGAGCTTGCTTGCGCTCCTGCTTGTCATGTATGCAGTGGCCGCGGGTCTTGACAGACAGCCTTGGGCTTGGGCGTGTTGGTAGGTTTGCAGGTGATCAGCATCCAGGCCTTCCTCCTTCCCCTTGTCACTGTCATACAGGGTAGTAGCATGTTCCCATGCAGTGAGCCCTGCATCGCGTTGCCCCAGGAAGTTCCGCAGAGCGCGTGGCCCCGGTCTCGCCCAAGAGGTCCTGAAAACCTTGCCCGCATCGAGGATCAGTCCAGGAGGCCCTCCACACAGAGGTCAGTTGGACTATGACCTTGACCGGAGTGCATGGTGATGTACTTCGTGATGGTCACAAGGCCAAAAAGCGGAGCCCTGGCCTTGGACTGTATCCCAGGCAGTTGCCCAGCTAGGGCTCCCAGCCAGCAAAAATCCTGCCATTGGAAGGGACATCATAGGTGGTGGGTGCTGCAACCGAGGTGATGCCTGAGACCTGCCAACATCCATTGAATGGACTCCGGTCCTCCATGGCATTGATTGGACCATATAGTGGATCTTCATCAAGGTTGTTGATCTGTTTTGTCCATGCTATTGGCATTGCCTTTGTTTGCCATGATGCCCCCGGCAGAGCCATGTGATGTGCTCGGACGTGGCGGGACGTGGCTTGGACTGTTGCTTGTCTTTAAAGATGACCGCCTTTTGGACCCAAGACTTGAGGTAGGTGCGGTCTTTGGGTGGTAACTTCTTGATGCACTGATTGTGGATCGTCCAGTCCAACCCGTAGGGAGCCTGGCGTCTTGCATGACAAGGCAGTTCGATTTGCTGCCCTGGTCCATACTCCTGGCCCAAGCATGTTCAAGGTGTGGCATCTGGTCTGGTGAAGGAATGATGACCTGATCTCCCAGGTCTTGGCACTTGGCACAAAGAATTTCGTAGACCACATCGAGAAGTCCTCCCTGGCGGTGGCCTGGTTGTTTGCCAAGAGCTTGCCGTAATGCACCTCGATAACGGCGCCAGGCCTTGCGCTTCCCCTAAAGCGATCCTGCCAGAGGAAATCCATGGCTGGGTGCCCACAGGCACCTCTCTTACCTGAGGCCATCCTGGCACCGGCCGTCATTCCCTTCACTGAAGAGTTTTCAGCACCTTGGTTGACGACATTGGTTTCGACGTCTCAGGTGCCACACGGGCTGCTCAGGCTTGAAATCCAGCTTTTTTGGGCCTTGAGGTCAGCACCAAGAAGACGGCCTTCACCACCACGGACCGAGCGCAGAAGACCCGTTTCAGCAAGGCAAAGGTCCACAAGATGAAATTGCGCGCCCAGCATAAAGCTGCAGCGCAAGACAAAGCAGCAAGGCGGGTACTCCAGTGGGCGGGCTTGGCTGGCAAGGTGCTCCAGGGATATGGTGTCATAGAAGGAAGGTCGACGCGTCCACGAGCACCGTGATGCCACGGCGGCCTGTATCTCCAAGCGGCTGAGTGCCACACGCAGCACATTTGCCCCTGGGCGAGCCTGATCGTACCGCATGGCAAAGGGTAGGCCGAGCTGCAGGCGCCACAGTCTGAAAATGGTGGAGGTAAGTACGATTGGCCTTTCGCATTGCAGGTTTTGGGGCAGCATGACAATGACGCTCTGGAAGCTGGGCACCCAGTTCAAGTTGGCGCAGCAGTTGCTTGAGGCTTGGTAGGGTGCTGATCGTAGGCGCACTCGTTCGAGGTGGCCGTCCCAGCGGCCGGATGCCCCACAAGTTGCCCCAGTCCTGACGACGCTGCGCCATGCGTGCCTAGACAGGAAGGTGTCTGTATGGGCGCTGCCAAGCAATCTCACTGGAACACCCCCCCTACACCTTTGGCTTCTCCAGGACTGGTGCTGCTGCTTCATGGTGCCGAGGCGTTGTTGAAGCTGTGTTTTCCTCAAGGACAAGCTTTTCAGCTGTGACCTTCTGAACTTGCCTGCCATATGCTGTTCAGATTGGGGGTCGGGTGTTGCGGGTTTGGTAACCAAATCTTCGACTTGTGTGGGTACGTCGTCCAAATGAGAGATGAGAACATTTGTCTGGAGCTGGTTCTGCTGGCGGCCCTAGGCCTGGTTAGTTGCTGTAGCTTGATCTGGGGGTCTCTGCTGGGATGGTGGTCCATGCAGCGCCCAACCCATGGAGTGACGCTTGGAGGTGTCTCGAGCAAGGTGCCTTTGGGTCTCTGGTGACCTGGGAAAGGTTGTCCCGTACCTTTGCCTTTGCCACCACGGTCCTCCATGCCGTATCACATTTCCGGCATCGAAATCCAGTTTGGATTTTGTCAGACCAAGTCCAGTTGCTGCATCTGTGATTGGAGCATAGTGTAGCCCCTGCACCAGGATGATTTCCTGTCATCGTCCGGCCTGAGCGGGAAGTCAAAAAGGTGCTTAATCCACAGGGTGTGGGTGTGGCACAGTCTGTGATCAGGCCTGAGTGCCCTGCGCACCTATATCTCAAAAGGATTACGGGCAAAGCCTGCCGGTAGCGCAAAGTGCAAGACCTGCGAAGCGCAAGGTGGAGCACAAGTGCCAGGCGCTGAAGGTCAAATCAAAAGCACGAGGATCACGGGCAAAGGCCAATCCCAAGGTGTTCGACAAACCACCAACTGGACTTGATGGAGGGCCAGTTTGCGCAGCTAAATGGCCTGAGCCATGTATGTATGATATGATATGGTATGATATGATATGACCGGTTAGGTTATGGAGTTATGTATGTAATGCATGTATATAATATAATGTCATGTCATGGAATGTAGTGTAATGTAATGTGATGTAATGCAGTGTAATGTAATGAAATGTAACGTAACGTAATGTAATGTATGTACGTACGTACGTATGTATGTATGTATGTAAGCACTAATGTGTGCAGTGTGTGTAATGTATGGAATGTATGTACTGTAATGTAACGTAATGTAAATTAAAATATTGTATGTATGCATGCATGCATTCATGTATATGTTGTATGTATGCGTGCATGTTTGTATGTATGTATGACTGTAATGTAATGTAATATAATGTATTGTAATGTAATGTAGGTAATGTATGTACGGGTATGGTTTGGTATGGTAGGGTCGAGGATGTCATGGTATGCATGCATGCATGCATGGATGTAAGTATGTATGCATGCATGTATGTATGTATGTCTGTATGTGTGTGTGTATTCAATGGTATGCATGCCTAGTTCATACAATTGATGTGGTTTTGCTTTGCATCAAAACCTGGCGTTGTGACCTCCAGCTGTTGAATTCGTTCCGTTCTGTCATGCCCCGTTCAACCCGTAAGAATTGTGAAATCTCATACAGTAATACACAAACTGATGGTGGTGTATATATATGTTCATTCTGACGAGGAGAGAGGCTTGCAAACAGTCAAAGTGGTACGAATCCAAGACCTTTGCGCTTTGGACGGACTGGAAATCACAAGGCCGAAGCCAAAGTCAACGCATCAAACGGATTCAAAGTTCAAAACGTATGAAGGAAGTATTGGCATCCCAGGGGGCCGGGGCCAGAGCATCTAAGGAAGCAGTGGAAACAGTTCGCTTCCAGCCACTGGCTTAGTGATGGGCATATGACATGTGTGTGTGCACCCCCAGTCAAAGGATAATAAGGGATGATACAGTGAGGAATGGGTTGGGTTCCAACCACGGCGAGGGGGAGAAGTAGCTGGCGTAGCTAGTGAGAGGTTTACTGTGACATGGCGAAATCCGTTTGAATGTGTCAGTTTCATGCGATTGACGAAGCCTCGTCAGGTTCAGGATCCGGTTCGAAACTACATCCCTCCCGCCGCCCTGGAACGGGCAGCTGCAGAGCTTGCGGGGCTGCTGGCAGGAGACTTTCACCCAAAATTATTTCCTGAGGTTCAAAAACATGACGAAGCTAAGGACTCCTGAGGTTCAAGGTTCATTGATATCATGTGACCAACCATATCTTCAAGCAACCAGCAGGTCGCGCAGCCATTCTTTGCGAGGAGCATCATCACCGGAGGCACCCAAATCAGTTCACGCCTTCCTCAGCGAGGTGTTGCACGCGAACGCTTGCATACAAAAATATCCAAACACAGGAATGCTACGGGCTCCGTGTCGCAGGTCGAAGAACTTTATGAAGCTTGTTTGCATTTGTGTGCATTTTTGCCGTGATGTAGTCAAGTGTTGGATTGTTTAACCTTTACAGTAGGGTTGTGATGCCTCAGCAAGAAGTAGAGTAGCTACTCAGAGTAGACCATCAGTCCGAACCTGTTCTTCAGGCATCTAGCAACATTCCTGCTCCTGCAAGTCCTGCATCCCCCCGAGGGAGCTCCCAGGCCTTCTGTTTCAATTCAAGTCATGACACAGAATCCTCAGCGCTCGCTTACTTTGTCGGAGCTGCAGCAGGTTTCATTGGGAGGTGGGGAAGCTCAGAAGATGCAGTTGCCAGCATGCTGCTAGTGCTCGAGCATGCTCAAAGCCTTGAGTCTCCTCCAGGTAGGTCCCTTTCGGAATCAGTTGCCGAGGACCTGAAGGAGGCGTGCGTGCATTGTTTGTGCAGCAAAACAACCGGTCGCTACGACCCTGTTGTGTCCATTCACAGTTATTGTACCAAGTCAAACGGGCAGAAACTTCTGCAGTGTGATGGAAGCTGAATCACAAGTACTCAATTCCAAGTCGCACTTCGTCAAAATGATCAACATGTAGGTTCTGCGATCCTTGCGTGCTTTGGTGTGATCCTCAAGTATGCTAAATCCAGCACCACGAGACTTCTCAGATTTTGCCAAAGGACAGCTTGCTTGCAAGCCAAACATCATGGCGTGGAGTCATGATCGATCCACAAATGCCTATCAATTCTATGTATGGTCCTGGGCTGATCTTCAGCGTGTTAATGCCCGTATCCCAGCTTTTGCACCTGTGCTTTGCTCCCAGTTCTTTGTGTTCTTTTATGACTATCATTCGTAGAATTTCTGTGTTTTGAAAGCCTTTAGGCACTTACCAGGGGTTGCGTCTCCAACGATGGTTTGTGTTGGAGGACGAGTAGACACTTTGGTCGGACAGCCAGACAGCCGCATGTTCTTTTCTTTCGCTCCATGAAGCCATCACAGGAAAACAACCCCCAGGCTACTCAGTATATGCGCTTGCACGCACCACAGAGCAGCTCAGACGAGGCGCCATAGTAGCTGTTGGAACGTCCGTGCTTCGGGGTGTCCATCCTCCTGGTTGCATTGGCGCAATGAACATATACGGCCAGGTGGTGACACAGCCTGCCCCAGGCCTTGCAATAGATTGATCCACCTCGGAGCTTGATCAAGCTGAACAGCCTGATCAGCCAACGCTGATGGTCAGGTTTGGGGAGCCTTTGTGGGATCTCAGCTGAGCTTGCCATGGACTGATGGTGGATACAAGAAGCTGAAAGCAAGAGCGTCTTGAACTCTGTGGGCGCTAGCCGCTAGCTGCTAGCCTTTACTTTGTTCAAACCATGCCACAAGTAAAGGATTTCAGCAGTCGAGAGGACAAATTAGCGGCGGGGCTTGTGCAACTGGCACAAGCTCCATCCCAGGTGCAAGCTTTGACATGTGTTCATTCTGGCCTGTTTGAACTGCCTGTACCTGCCAGGCAGCAACCAACAAGCAGACGCGCCCTTACAAAATGGGTTTCGGATCGTGGCCTCGTTTGTGAGACGCCTCCGTTCTACTTCATATTGATGCTTCTTGCTTCCATATTGACAACAGCATCAGCCTATGTGGTTAGGCAGCTTTCACCACAGCTTCTGATTTTAGACCGTGTATGGACAGTGTACGTTAGTGGACCTCCAGGATCGCAGCTTATCACAGCCTTGTATACCCTCGTAGTTGCACAACGTCGGCGCCATGGCTCCACAGCCATTCGAATTTGTCGATGACGTTCGAGCTGCCGTTTGAGCTTTTCGCTCGTGTGTTGTTGGCGCTGCTATCAGATGTGGGTAACACTACCATCGCAAGGGCATTCCCATGGGCAGATGAACAGCTGTGCAGGCACTCATCGGGTACTCTAGAGGCATTTTGCTGGATTCTCTCGATTCACGAGCTTTCAGTTCTGCAGTGACTGGCCCTGTTCGAGTGCTTGCTTCCACTAGAAGACACACCAGGTTCCTGTCTAATCAAGCCAGTGTAGCCACAACAGCAGGAGGACAATCCAAGCTCCAACCACTTGATGTATAAATATAGATGTAGTTTGCCTATCAGACCTATCACTTTGTTTTCTTAGCTTGCTGCGAGTCCTTTCCAGTTATGGGGAAAGGGCCTTCCTTCACCAGGTGTGGCTTTAAAGCGAGACTTGGCTGGAGTTAGACACTGGGAACTGTGGAGTTGACACTTCAGAATGTGGGATTGGCACATTCGCCTTAGCATGAGGTTGGGAGCCACCAGCCAGACATGCATCCGCAACAAGCGGGCAGTTTTGGTTGCGGATCTTTGGGGCACCTTGGCGGCGACGAGGCCATCAAACTTGCTCAAGTGTTCTCCAAGCCACCGAGGCAAAGCCGCCGGAATGGTTTTGTGGCCTCCAAGTCACGAAACTTGCCTGTGAGGGAGCTTGTTCGAAAAGATTAAACATGTTACGAATATAGTTTCCAGTATTGTCACGACATGTCACGACAAGTTATACAACACGTGGACACTACAAAAGGATTCAAATGATATATATATATATATATATACATATAGGCTTTTTGCAGTGGGTAGATGAGGTCGATACTGCTGCATCCCGCTCCTTGGCACAGCGGCTTCAGGCATCAGGCTCTTGTTGCCGCAGCTCGGAAGATGGATGAAGATGGTAGGTATGGGCAAGGGCATTGGGCAAGGGCGGCAAGGATGTGGGCCTATGTCTCCACGGGTTCTCCAGTTCCTGAGAGTTTAACGCTCAACAAAGCGAGAATGGCATTCAAGACATGCTTGCCGCCCTGGGGGTGAGTTCCCGTCACTCGCACTGCTCAGGATACTTGATTATCAATTGCATGGCATTGGAGTATGGAGAAGCTTAGATGAATACAGTCCGCTGAATTGCCAAATGTTGGATTTGAATCGTTTGGCCTAGCACAAGAAAATGCCATTCTTTGTGAGGAACTCACTTGGCTGTCTAGATGCTGCTGTTCAGTGGAGATGCTGCAGTTGCGCTTCTTTGGTCCCGAAAGCTTTTCATCCAACATGGAATGGCTGGATGCATGGTCTCATTCCTTGAGGAGGCTCTTTTAGTTTGAGCAGTTTCCAACTGAAAAAATGGTTTCCAACCAATGCTTTGGGTTCAATCATGTTGAAACTATTGCGTGAAGCTTTCAGGTTGAGCATTCAGTTCTGGTATGATGATTGCTTGGGAGCGCCACCAATCCAGGAAGTAGCTTTGCCTCTGTTGTTTGATAGGGCGTGACGGGCTGGAATAGAGCACACGTGGGCCAGAGAGGGAAAACCATGGAAAACCTTTGTTGAGAGTCGTCAGTGGTTTTGTGTTAAGAGTATATAATTGTGGTAATGTCATTTGGACACAACAGAGCCCATACAAGACCAACAAAACAGCTACCATGCATCACAGAATCCACCTGTAAAAGACCAAGGTCACGCAATATATTTGTCGTTCCTGTAGATCTTTGGAGGCGCTGTGGCTGAAAGGCATTGATTGGCCAAAAGCACGGATACAGATAGCAGCAGCTATCAAGAATGAGCTGCCTCTTGGTCATGGAGGAGCGTGGTCCTTGAATGATAGATGTCGGCATAGGCTTAGTTTTGGCCAACTTGTAGCTGGTTGTTGTGCAACAAGACATGTTGTGGCAACTGCTAGGAAGTACATGTGACGCCTATCAATCATGGAGTGCGGTAGTGGGCCTCACTTCGACAGTTTTGCCTACAAATCTTCATGTTCAAGCCCGCTGCAGATGTGGATTTGTTAAGGCTTGGAGCTGGAAAATGCTTACGTAGATTGTCGCTGGAGGGTTCGCAACCATGGCCTGACGACGCCTCTAGCAACAATTAGTCGGTTGATTTCACCTAGCCAGGCGGCTGGCCATGAGTCAGTTGGACAAGATGACAAGTCTTTAAAGGTCTCCAACAAATGATGTTCAGTCGATCCGCTCCGAGTTGGATGTGTACAATCGGATCCGTATATGTAGTTAATTGTAGTTACTTCTTAGAGTTGACCCAATTCACAGCAAAGGACTGCGTCAGCATTCACTTGTGTTACAAACTGTTGTTTTGTAAGTGGTATATACCACTGTCGCAAGTGATAGTTCATTATCGCAAGCCACACTTGTTACCAATACTTATCACGGTGCTTTTGCTTCTGCCTGAGGAGATTAATGTAATGCGCGCGGCCGGGCTTGTAGTAGAAGTTTGCCTTCTATCCGATCGAACTCGGTGATCTGAGTCAATCAGACCAAGCTCCCTGGAAAACCGTTGAAGCTGCAACCTGGTGAGCCCGTTCTTGAAGGAACTGCCTTGAATCTTTTCAGAAAAACCGTCGGTGATACCGACTGGGTACATCTCCATTTCGATCCCGGGCTTTCATTACGAGACCAATCTTCATCGCTGCTGTGAGTGTAACTGCAAGACGTGCTGCATGGCGGGTGCAGCCGCCAATGTAGCCCATTTGACTGAAAGAGCAGAATTGTCTCCTCACAGAGAGCACTACGATTGCAAAAGAGTGTTTCGTGATGCCCGGCATTGTTTTGTTTTGTGTGCCCAAAGCTTCAAATCCGAAACAGCCACCTTGCTTCCGAGGCGTGGTAAAAGCCTGCTCGCCCGGACCTTTGACCCACACTCCTTGACTTAAAATTGAATAGTGCTTTTTTGCACAGACTGGTTGACGAACGGAAAACCATGTTGGCCGCTGTTTGATCAAGAGCAGCTGCAGCAGCAGCTGTGGCCATGGCGGCCATGCGAGCTCGACGCTTCTTTGGTGCTGCTGGTGCTTCCTGGAGAACTTTGAAGGCTTCTGGGAGGCTTTCCAAGGACAGCATGGGTGTTCGGAAGACGCGCCGAGCACGAGAGGATCGAAGTTTGTGTCACCCCAAACGCTGCAAAGAGATGACATAGCTCTCTACCCAAAAGCGCCGCTTCTTTCCAAGCAATCGCCTTTTTGACATGCTGCACTGATACCATTTGGTACCTGGTAAAGATATGTAAAGATCATTTTCGGCTGTGGCAAAGTACCCGAATTTGGATCAGTAAGGATGCAACACTGGCATGCACTTGCGCAAATTGAGCAATGTTGGACCAGGACAGCAAGTGTTTGAGGGTGTTGCTTCCATGCTCCGTGGGCAGCGCTGCCCTGCTGATGCTGCACCAGAATAATTTCATGTGTGCTTCGATCGAACACTTTAAGGTTTCACTTGTTGGCCAACGATGTCAGGCGGCTCTCGAGCTTTGTCCTTTGTTCTTTTGTGCTAGGCTCACCCGGCATAGTATGCAAAAATGAATGTTTGCATTCACAGCAGAGGTGAAGAAAGACCAAGGGTGGCATTGATTACCGGCAGTTCTTCTGGCATTGGCAAGGCAAGGGCTCCGTTTGGTTGGGCTTGGCCGATGCAGACGTTATAATTACAGGCTCTACTTGTGGCCAGCTTCGGACATGGGAGGCTTCAACCAAAGCAAAGGGCCACCCTGCACCCACATGTTTGGGTGGGCAAATGTTGTGATTCTCGTGCACTTTCGCGAGCAACAGGATCAAGGCACACCCAAGGACCCACCTTTGAGTCAAACATGGAACCACTGATGGTGCCGTGACAGTATGGTCGAGTAGCAGTGTTCATGAAGAGAAAAGGGGCAAGTGATCAGGCGATTGCAGAGCGGCTGGCAGCCGAGGGGTTCTTGGTGGTGGTAAACAGTTGGCGTCTTATTCTCAAGATTCACAATGATGTCATGTCTTGACAAGTTTGAGATATGAAAAACTCCCATTGCTGATTTGTGGGTTTGAGGCCATTCTTCGGTTGAGGACGGGAAGGCAGTTGCGGCCGAATTGCCGGGCGCCATGTACATTCAGGCTGATTGCAGTACTCGTCAAGGCTGTGAAGCACTAGTCAAGGAGGTCATTGATCGCTGTGGGCAACTTGACCTTTTGGTATGTGACCCGTCTCACATCAATTCTGATTGTTGGCTTACGTTACCCATGTGCTGCGGTTTACATGGAATAGACATGTGGATGTTCAGTTCAAACTCTAAGGTAATGCCGGTGTTGGAAAATGGATTCCCCATGATAACCTTGAACTCATTGACGACGCGAATCTTGGCCTGAATGCGGAACATATTGCACAGAGTGATCATGGAATCAAAGATTTGAAAGATTGCGAAGGCTTGTTTACAGTAGGAGAGAGGACCGTAACTAACTGCTGAACGCATATGCCTGCATTCACCTATCATGTGCTTCCAACTTGCTTTGCCGCTGATATGGGTTCAAGCACTATGGCTTGAAGAGCAGGACACTAGCCACTCTGAACATGATGCGTGGCTCTCATCCAGTGTTGCCAGAGCCCAACGAGCCCTCGGGCACGCCAGCTGATTTGGGAAAGGCAGCAGCGCCGCAAAAATTTGGAAATGCACACATGAGTAATTCGTTTGAGTCAAAGTCCCGGTCTCGCCTGAACATGACGGACTTGGAGCTTGAAAGCGTTGAGAGTGGCCCAGACAACTGTTGCAATTTGCTCCGGAAACTCTCCACCCGCAAGATCACATGGGTCATAGTCACCGCTCTTGTGACAGCTTTGTGCTATGCGTCGGCTCACCCCGTGGCATGCCACGATTCGACCCAGTGTAGGCAGTATCACGATGCTGCCAAGGATTTAAATATTTATAGCGCCTTCATCGAATGTGCTCTTGGATCAGTCTTTTTACATGAGATGGTGTCAGTGATTCTGATGTATAGGACCGCCAAGAAGGCCATTCACTTGATCCCCAACATCAAGGACTCACTTCTTCCTTCCACACTCTTGTGCATCACATTTGCCGTGCTTTTGGTCGAGAACCTTCCTTTCTTCACCAGCGATACTCCCTGGTTTGTTCACGCAGCAAATTTGGGAAGATCAGATCTTGACCACCAGCCTGTCTACACAATATTCTTTGCTGAATCTAAGCTGAAAAGATGAAGAAAGAAACACACACATTTTTGGAATGCGTGTTTTCCAAGAGGCTCAAACTGGCTCTGAAGCGTTGGCACATGAGGAGTGGCTGATCAACGTGCCAATTTTGATCATTCTTGCCGGCACCGTCGCCTTGGGACGACCAGCTCAAGAAGTTGCAGAGCCGCTCATTGTGGCTCGGTGGGTTTTGAGAGACCCAGTTCGCGCCGAGTCGAGTGGAATATGTTGATTGAAGTTTGAGCAGAGAGAGAGGGAGAGAGAGAGAGAGAGAGGGAGAGCTTTCCTAGTTTAGTGGTTGATCGCAAAATCCATGTGCAATCCCCACTGCCTTGATGGATCGATTTTTCTCGATCTATGCTGGTGCACTGGAAATGAAATCGTGCTAGTCTCAACCTGTAGGTGACGAACGTGTACATGACCTTTGCGTGGACCGCAAATTTCATTCCAAATGAGCCAATCAGATACACCCTCGTCTCTGTGCCCTGGTGAAAATAATATTGGTTTCTTATGCATCTTGATTCTTTGGTGTTCACCATGTCTTGCTGTCTAGTGCCATGAATGAAGACTGAGGTGTCTTTTCTCATGTATTTCCGGGCTTCATGGACAATGGTCCTTTGGGTAGCACGTTGGCGGCGAAAGCATCCAGAAGGCTGGTGGATTTGCTAAAGCATTGTCAATCAGTGCTTTTCTCCCATGTTCGAATCGCAGGTCAACTTCTTGGTCGACCGTTGCTATCTTTCGCCCTGGTGCTGGTTTTTGGCATCTACGGCATTGTGTACTTGTTGAGGCTGCGAGGTGCTGTGAGCTATCGTGGTGAACGCATTTTCTATACCACGATGAATTTCACCACCAAGCTCTTTGCGTCAATGACGCTCTCCGGGATCAGATCAAGTGAATTCCAAGAGGTGCTCCTCACAATGCTGGCCAATACTCAGACATCTTTCAAGCGGGCCGTTAACTACGAGGAGACCGCGGAGCTTCTGCCATAAAATCAATTTCAAGTTGTTTGAAGAGTTTGGGCTGATTTTTAAGCGAGGGCCTGACAAAGGCTGACCACAAAGCATTTTTGGTGTCACCCCATCTTGAGCTCCATCTGAAGATGAGCTTTTAATTAGAAAGTACTTTTCTGCAGTGCAGTTCCTTGGCAAATATGTGTCATGCCCATACTGCCACAAGTCCAAAGGAAATCGCTGTGCGGTGCCCCTGGGAACCTTGGGACCTTTGCTCTCGTCTTGGAAAATCCGAGCGCCCGCTGTCACCTCCCCGCAAAACTCCACCAACTGAGTTGAGCTTTTTGAATTGAGTTGTGGATTGCATCACGAGGTACTTGCACAAGATTTTTGAGCCATGGCTGGAGAATCTAGTGGCTTTTTGATTGGTATACCGTGCCGCTCATGACTCAAGACAATGCAAAGTTTCACCAGCCAAGGCGTTGAATTGCTTTGGGCCACTTTGGCTAAGTCGTGCAGCACAGGGCCTAGTTGTTGGATTGACTGGATCCCAACAAATTTTCGAGCATCCCCAACATCAGACACCAGGCAATGCCTCATTTGAAGAGCGTGGAGAACTCATCGATCATTATGATTGGCTCTGCGGCTGGTGGACGGCCTATGGGAAGCAGCATCCCATATAGTGCCTTGGAGCAGTCTTGGAGTGGAGCGATCAGGGACCAGTATTGCAGGAGATTCTGGCAAAGGACTCGTACCCAAAAATTGCAAAGCAAACCTGAAACTTCCTGACATGCAGACAGGCATGGTCATCCGGCTGACACATTTATACAGGAATCCAGTATGGCTGTGCGAGACTCTTCCATGCACGTGGGTGTGGTGCCTTGCATGGTGGGTTTGGTGCGGGCAAGCTCTTTACATGTAGAGATTGCTACACGGCATGACTTTGACTTAGGCATGACCAGAGCTGTGGCCGCCTCAGCAGCATGCTCACAAATGTGTTGAAGCTCCTGCATAATTTGCCACAACCGAGGCTATGAATCACTTGACAAAACTGCTCGCAAAAAGCCACGGGCCAGTGCGGGTGAACTGTGTGGCCCCAGGCCTGATAGAGACACGGATCACACATGGCGGTGAACCTTGGCTCGCCTGTTCCACATGAACTCGAGGAAAGGATACATAAGGAGACAGTAATATAGGATATATATGGATATATAAGACTATATAGATGATGCGTCGAGATCATTCAGGCCTTCAACCTCCCAAACCATTGAACGCCCCAAGTTGTGGTTGCGAGTGGCAAGTGAGGAGTGGGGTGCTTCATATGCAGCAGTGAAAACACATACGCCTCTCAAGCGAGTTGGGCAACCAGCCACAAGGTTGCAAGAATGATGACTAGTTGCCAGTTTAAGTTGCATGACAATATGACATCGGATAAACCTCATGGGCCGCGGCCTGCATCACCCTAGACTGGGTGCAACAAATACCAAGGCAGATATGGCGGAAGCTGTGATGTGTTGCGTGAGGTCCAGGCCCACAAAGTTGTGCTTCTCAGTCCAATGACAATCACCCAGTGAAAGGTGTTCACATTTGTTCAGGTACATGACTGGTCAGACGATTTATGTTGATGGCGGTGCTTCGTTGGTTTTTTGAGCCAGCGCCAGCTCAGATGGAGCGGAAAAAGTAATTTGATGTCAAGAGAGGCGAAGATGAACATAGAAGATCAAATCATCACAAGGGGCACCTCTTCTTTGGCAGTTGGGAAATGGGAAAGTTGCACGTGGCATTCCTTAGGCTTCTGTACCCTGGTGGCGGCAATTTGCTTCATGCTTGGATCTCAAGTGGCAGATTTAGAGTTTTCACTGCATGACACTGCATGCAGGTTGGCCAACTGTGCTTTTGGGGCCGGCTGCGCGAGAAGAGAGGTGTCAGACATGAGAATGTCAGGCGCAGTGCTTCAACCAGTGTTCTGAGATTGTTTTAGCCAGGTCCAGTGGTGAGACCGGTGAATCATGGCATCTTGAGGCGTCACAGTACACTGCTTGCAATTGACTTCGAGTGGAAACATCAAGTAGTTCAAATGACCTCTTGCTGTTCGCCTTTGCTAGGCCATTCATGTGAGTGCCCTAGAACACCTATTGCCACAGCAAAACACACATCGGGCACCAAGCTGAAACATGAGGTGGCTGCTGGCCTTTGGCGTTCTGGTGCCAGCTGTCAGCTTTGGCTGGATGCCCCAGGGAAGCCAGCGAACGGCATTTGATTCTTCAAATTAATAAGCCGTGTTTGGGGAAGCTCAGGCCTCCTTTCGGAGAATGCATTGATGCTCGAGTGGCCGCAAGCCCTAGAATCGTCTTCCCATTTGGGGGTGCTGTTCGGGTCTTTGTGACAACTTGCAGGTCTCTGAAGCGCAGAAGAGCCTAGCTCAATATGGCCCAGATGGATTTCCTGGGCCGGCCACCTGGAGAGCTACTCTCGCCTAGCCAAGATCGGGACAGAAAAGCAATTGTTTCTTTTCATCTTCCCTAGTAGCGATGACCTCCACCCTAAGAGCAATGGCCTCCACCTTAGTAGGAATCGCCTCCACCCTAAGAGCAATGGCCTCCACCCTAGCAGCAACGGCCTCCACACCAAAAGCAATTGTCCATTTCTATCTATTTGGGACCACTCGTGTTGAAGAGCTCAAAAAGGACGGCTTGCACAGTCTTTTACCAGGCCTTTGCCGCCTGACTTCATCGTCACCGTGCGAATGCCGGAAAAGAGCGATCCAAATCCTCGGAACCTTGGCTGGACGGGGCTACGCTCGAGCACCGCCTCGAGCACCAAAGTCGCCTAGGGAAGATGATGGGACAAAGAAGGCCCAAAAGACTGAGGAGGAGGTGAAGAAAGAAATTCCAATCAGGCAAGCCTGCCACATGCAATATAATCATTTCATACGTTACTTGCAGTGTATTCATGTTTTTGGTGCGTCAGGTTTTCCATTCGGGCCATTTCTGACCAAGGCTCGCAGGTCTAGTGCAGCAACTTGCAGTATCAGCCAGCTTGCAGGTTTAGCATGGTTTAGTTAAGAATCTGAAGTATTGAGATGATTGAGTCACCATGGGCCTCTCATCGCTGGTCTGATCACTTGGTCATGGAAGAGCCACCCAAAAGGACCCCAACTCAACGGTTGCCCGCGGTCAGAAAATTGGAATTGTAGGAGTTACTGTAACAGTTCACACCCCCACGTTCCTATATGCTTTTTGTCCACACAAAGCCCGTACCCTTCTGGAAAGACAAGTGGTATGATTTTCGTTGGGCTGTTCACAATTTTCCATCACAAGCTCCAACCCTGCACCCCTACTTTCCTAGTTTTTCCTAGGTTTTTTCCGCCGACTTTGGCCTCAAGTCTAAATCCACCATAGCCCACACAATGCTTTCAGCAAAAGGTAACAAGTTTATAGTCCTCGGGACCACAACACTGAAATCTTGACTGCGCAGCTCCCTTACAGGCCATGAAGCAATGGATAGAGCAGCCAAGGACTTTGTTCAGCTTTGGCCTTTCACAGAGCAAAGACACAAAGCCATTCCGCTTTCATTCCACAGATCTGACCATAGCTCTTGGCTGCCCGGTCAGGATGCACGGGGCAGAATAGATTTTGAGGGGCGCTCGAGGCAGAGGAAAGTTAACAAAGGATTTGAGCAAACCAGAACCTGCGTACAAAGATGATAAGTGTATATCAAATGTGTGAAGCCCGCCAAACTTCCACAGAAGACTCGCATAGTTTTTTTGTATCTGAAATGGACCTTTGTGCCTGGAATAGGCACGATGCACTATTTGAGTATTTTGTCCAGTCCCGGTTGGTAGAAGCGTGATGACGGCCCAACCTTGACACTGATCTCGAACTTAAAGATTGTTGTCGATATTGCTGAACGCTCTGGTCAGGCTGCTGGATTTCTTTGAGCGTTTGGCCCGTCGCCATGCTGGAACTGCATCCCGCCTGCGCTCCAAGCTTTGTTGGGCAGCCGTTGGTGTGAGCAAGAGGGGCAACCAGAGACATGATATCCCCCAAACAAACGAGATAAATTTCAGATCAGCAAGGAAAGCTGGAAGAGTGATTGCATGAGTGTTGAGGTGGCCAAAGCTCCTTTGCTTAAGTTTGTTTTCAAGGCCTGCATGTGCATTCAACAGTTTGTGGGATTGGGCACTGTTCGAAGATGTTTTGGCTTGGAGGCTGTCCTGACCATAGGCTCAGATTGTCTTAGCGGGCCTTTGCCTGTATTTTCCAGCTGAGAGCTGAGCTCCATGACACAGGAAAAGATTTATTTTCTTTTCGGTGGCCCCGTTGCTCAGCACAAGTTTGGCCATGTTAGAGGTTGAGCGAGTCAGCCACAAGCGGGCAGCTTGCTTTGCTGCTGTGCTCAAGTTATTCAGCCATCATGTACTATCAAGCGGCTCGAGCGATGTTGTACGCAGAGTGGGGTCCAGTGATTGTGCGTGCTGCATGACTCTCATGGCACAAAGGAATTCCATGTTCACCTGCTACATTGTACATACTGTTTGCGTAGTATGCTATAGTCAGAGTATTTGGTCCAGCTCAAGTGCCATGCCAACCTTGCGAGGCCTATCAAAAGAGGCTTTGCTTGCGAGAAGGAGCTACTAGCACAATGCGGATGAGGAATGACGCCAGAGGCCCATGGCATCAAAGTGCGCAATGGGAAGCTTTGGGGGCTGGCAAATGTCCTCGCAGAACTTGGAAGAAGAAGCGACTGGAGGGAAGCATGGGAACTCTTGCAGGCATGTATGCGCTGGGAAGCTCGGAAGAGTTCTCGCTCTGAAAACGGACTCAAACCAGGACCTGATGTAGTTGCGTTTAATTCTGCTCTAACTGCTTTGGGCAAGGGATCCTGGGGGCACAGCCTTGCGGTGCTCAATGTTATGAGGGCTTCATTCATCCGACCAACATGTGTTACCTTCGGTGCGCTCCTCGGTGCCCTGGCCAGACACATTGAAGGTGAAGGCCATGAAGGCATTTGGCTTCAAGCCATGCATCTTTGCCACACTCTCTTGACGGACAATGGCTCTTCCTCAAGCATGGAAAGTGGGGATGCCGAACAGATGCGCAGAAGCCAGGTGATATTCTTGAATACTGCACTTGCAGCCTGTCAAAAACATTGGTCCTTTGGAGTCCATCTTCTACAAACAGCCTTGGCAAGAGGATTGGAACTGGATGTGATATCATGGAATTCAGGCCTGCTGGTTGCAGGCCAGAAGGACTGGGAGCACAGCTTAAACATCTTGGAGCGAATGAGCAATTCAAGGATGATGCCGGACGCAATTTCTTTAAACTCATGCATCAAATGCTGTGCAGAAGGGCATTCTTGGAGAATCCTTCTGCTTTTGTCACGACGTGAAGGGAAGCAGCCCTGCAATGTGCCTGGCCTCAATGCTGCCATCACTGGGCTGGCCATTGTCGAATGGCAGCAGGCCTCCAGGGTCTAAAGGGAATTTCAGCCTCCACCATGTTGTTTCAACCAGTCTTTTGCTTGGGTTCATTGTCTTGATTTGGTTTCCTAGGGCCTAGGGGATAGTAGCTACAAAGCATAAGGCTCTCGCGCAATTGATGGATGCCAAGTGCTAGCCTGGGCAGGGACGCATCACCACCCCTACCCCGCTTGGAAAACAATTTGGAAACACACAACGGCGCCAGGCAACACTCCCTCCCCGTAGTGCTGGCCCGAGAGACACAAACCCGCTTTGCTGCTGACCATCCACCACTGCATCCAGCCGCGCAAAGCGGCGCCAAGGATGCGGAGAGCCATTAGGTTTGTACAAGAAACATGGGTTTATCGGTTTACCCAATCCCGGCAAACATAAAAAGCCGAAGTCAGCCAAAAACAGCCCTATCACATCATCAGCTCCGGTGCACGAAAATCCACAGTCAACAAGTGATCCCGGATATGACCTGCACGCAGGTGCCGCACGTCCGGATGCGACCTCAAGAATTCAGGGTCACAGTTTCCTGCATCCCCTTCATCTCGATATCTGGAAATCGGAAGGTCCCCTATCAACAAACAGCTCCACGGTATGAGCGCTAGGGGCAGTTCAGTGGTTCCGACATGGCAAACAGCTAGGTAACATGATGCAACATGTAAGACAGAAGCATACAGAAGCTGTGCCTTGGCAAAAGCTGCCGGAAAGCATTGGAGATCAACGGAGTTCCGGCGATACTAGCGATGGCCTCCAACCTAATATATCGCCAAAATCTTGAGCCGCCCATGTTCCTCCTTTGTGGGTTTTTTCAAGTGCCACTCAACACCCCCCTCAATCGCAGTCCATTGATTAAAAGACGCATAAAGACGCTAAGTTACACCAAGAACATCAAGAGACACACATCGAAACACCTTCCGTGGACTCTTCATTCATGTCATAGCTTGCACATACAAGGGTTTTCATTATATAGAGTATGTTTGTGATTTGTTTATGTCTTTTTGCGCGCGCGCTCTCTCGGTCAAGTTTCATTGATTATTGCCCACATTCTCCTCACTTTTCTGCCCATTTTCTGACTCCACAGGGCGAAAGTGAACAGATGTGACACCGGTGCTTCTTGAAATTAGAGGTAAGCGATCATGATCATACAGCATTCGACTTAATTGGTGTAATGAGAGGCCACGTCTTTGTTCCAACACATGGCTGTGGAGCACCTTGCCCGGGATGCGCGCTCCTTTCGGGCCGCTGCTAGTGCAACTGCTTCCTGGATCCAGTTGCTACAATTGCTCGTGGATGCCGAGGTGGAAGACGTTCAGATTGATTTGACCTTTGGGAATATGCTGAGCAGTAGCCTCCGCAGGGTTTGGCAAAAAGCACTAAATGTTCCCCAACTTTTGTTGTGCAGACGCCTTGAAGCAGATCCTGTGACGTACTCTTCGCTAGCATCAGGATACCAGCAACATTGGAAGCATTCTGTCATGTCACTCGTTGGGATGAGCCAGCGGAGAGTCCCAAGCGATGCGTACAACCTGGCAGCCTGCCTTGATGCATTGGCAAAGCGTTTGGCATGGGAAAGAGCCTCAGCTATGCTTGTCAGTCGGCCCCAAGCGTTCTGTACCGATACGGCTTGCCTGGCTGCAATTGAAGGCCTTAGCAAAGCATCGGAATGGAATTTGTCTGCTCAGCAGCTTGAGAAGTTGGACTGGAATGGCATACAAAAGAATGTTTTTATGTACAGTGCTGTTGCCGCTGGCCGGTTCCTCAGTTTCAGTATTCTTGCTCTTGAGATTCTTATTTGCACATCTTGATTCTTGCCATTGTGCTTCAGCTTCACATACACAACCTCAATGCTGCAGTGTGCATAAACCTTGCCGAACTCTTCTTCTTTCGGCTTTGTTGCTCACGCATTGGGCTAAACTACCGCGAAACTGGGTATATAGTGGTGAAACTGCTGTAAGAGTCCAAGGTCAGGAAAAGATTGGTGCCTGCAATTTCTGATGCCAACCCAAAGTCCTTTTGGACGCTTTTGGCACGTTAGACACACATACAAGAGATTTGGTTGGCTAGTCACATGCAGACACTAGGGGCACTTGTTTCATGACATCGATTTGGCTGAGGACACGAGCCATTTTTGTGGAGAGATACGTGCAGGATCTTGACCTCTCTTCAGTCAAGGACCCTGAGGGCTGACACTGTCACTCACAATGCAATTGCAAGGGTGAGTGCGTTTACGGAGCACTGGCCATTGGGTGTGGCCATCCTTGCTCAGATTGTGGAGCGGAGCTTGCGGTGGACTGAGACGACTTATACAGTTCACCTTACCAGCTTGGTGGCCAAAATGTCGAATCCAACATTTTCCCACAGAGCCAGCCTGGCTTGGCAGCTTTGCCTACAAATACTGTGCGATGAAGCTCCCGAGGCTGGCACTACATTGGAGACAACAATTGCACCGATTGCCGCAGGGATCAGGTGTTGCTGCACTGGGCTTTCTTGGTCAACCGCTTTGGTTTTGCTGCAAAAGATCCGACCTTTGGATACTTCAGCTGAGCTGCTTCTTCCTGAATTTGACGCAACGATTTCAACATGTATTAAGGGAAGAGCTTTTGAAATTGCACGGTATTACTTAGATCAAGCCAAAAACTATTTCCTAAGGAATTTGGACAAAAAATATTTGGCAAAGAAACAGGTATATATAAATGCAAATATAGAAGAAGTATTAAATGATTCATATTTAATATATATATATGTATATATAATGGTTTTTCTCCAAACAATTTGATTGTTCGGATTCTCTTTCAGGAAAAAAGAAGCTGGCCACAGTTTCTGGCCGGTGAATGCTTTGTTCGGGCGTTGTCATTGTCTTCCTGTTATGTTCTTTTTGTTCGCTTGTTATTCTCTTGTTTTTTTGGTGCGTAGTCAAACTTGGTCGCGGTTGTTGGCCGGTCTTTAGATCTTGTTTTCGCACACGATTTCGTGCGGTATTTGCGGCACTTTGTAGTTTCGTGTGGTATTTACATATTTTTTTTGGCATTCGTGTCCGTCAAGCGCATCATAGCATGTGGGGTGGGTGGGGGGGTGAGGGGTAAGTTCCCCAAAGTGGCAGTGAAGTAACCTAGCAACAAAGGACCTGATCGAATACACCAAGTATGCCCGAATGCGATGCGGAGTCGTATGCGAGTGTCAGCGAGCTCACTTTTCTATGGCGCGCAGTACAGTATGCGCGGGCTTCAATCTTGAGCCAGAAGTGAAGGAATGAATTAAGCTGAAAGCTGTACGAAGAGTCTAGATACGGAACTATGAACTATGCGCGGACAGCAGGTGCTACACACGTATAGATGCGTATAGCGTAGACACGCCTAGGGGACCTAGGACACTACAAAGCACATGGGGTGGGGAGGGGTGGGATGTTAACGTTCGGTTCAAATTGCACACCCATACAGCTGAAACCTTTCTACGCTACGCACACAATACGAGTGATTGAGAGTGGGGTGGGGTGGGATGTTAACGTTCGGTTCAAATTGCATACCCATACCCATACAGCCGAAACCTTTCTACGCTACGCACACAATACGAGTGGCTGAGAGTGGGGAGGGGTGGGGTGAGTTGGGGTGCGAACGTTCGGTTCAAATTGCGCACCCGTACAAAGGAAAAGCTTTTCTGTGCTCTGCACACCATGTATACACAAAGCGTGCTGTGTTGCACACACATGTTTTCTTGCGCACATATTGGTGACCAATTTTGTTTTTAGGACCGAAGCATTTTATAATATTTTATATACAGAATAGAATTCTGACAAAATTGTTCTTCCTCCTGCAAATAACAGTCGAAACGCAGTTCGCAAACCACTGAAAACATCGTTTTCGTGTGTTTTCGTGGAATTTTCATGTTTGGAATGCAAAAAAATAGCGGGGTCATTAATGACGTCGCTACCTTGTTTTTTTGCTATCGGTTTTTTTTCCTCTTTTGCATTCATTTTGTCGTTCCGTTGCCGTTTTTTCCCGAATGCGAAGCGAAGGGTTTATAGTGGGGGTGTGGGGGGTTGGACTGTGTTCGCCTCGCGTGCTCTGTGTCGTCGTGGGGTCCGTAATTTGTCCCCATTGGGCGATTCTTTTGGAGAAGTTCGTCGATGCCGGGTCACCGTTAGATTCGTCGCATATGACGTGGTTTTGGGGCGTTGGATGTGGGAGGATGAAATTAGGATGAAATCACTGCGCAGGCGTAGCGATTGGTGAGATCCGCAGTTTTCTGCGTAGTTACATTTGGGATTGGCGTTTGGAGCGGCGCAAGTTTTGTTGAAGCTAAAATGATATGATATTATCACTTTTCGTGGCATGCGCAGTACTTTGTGCATATTTTGACTCGTGGAAGTACGATTTTCGTGGCAGGCGCAGGGAATCGTAAGGTTGCGAGGTGTGGCAGAGGTGACATTTCGTATTAATAAGATCTATTGATTGACGGAAATATACTAGCAATTAATATATCTAGTTTGAAAAATTATGAATTTTAATGTATTTAGAAATTTATTGTATTGGAGATTGATATGCCAATGAGTAGTATGGAAAAAGATTTGGAAATGATTTTTTTGATTGATTCGTATTATATATTATATTGGATTAAATCGAAAAGGTGATAATTTTTATCGATTTATATTTTTTCGAAGGAATTGGAATATTAGATAAAAGAAATGATTTAAAAAATTAATATTCTATGTTTATTTTTGAATATATATGTTGATTTGGATTGGAATTGTTTGTTTAAGAATGGATGTTATGTCCGTTGTTTTTTACGAAAGGTCGTGGTTATATTATTTGAATTTTCCTTTTGTTTTAGCAAAAATGTATTATACCTAGAGCTCGAATTTATTTTATTGAGAAATGGTTCTCGATATGTTCGTTTGTTGGCCGGGGGAGGGGAGGGGGGGGGTCTTCGCCCCCCTTCCCTTTTTTAAGTCTATCCTGGCGCGCTTCGGAATTAATGGTTCGAAAATATTGTAAATACTAGTATTTTTAGCTCTTCTAATCTTTAATAGTGACTAAAAATCATGGAATTTATAGCATTTTTTGCGGTTGTCCGGCAAAAAAAACACCGCAAAAAACGATGGTTTTTGATGCATCTCGATTAGCACTTTCTCGGTAGAAAACCCCGGTATTTAAACGGTTTTTAGCGCTTTTCTAGCACATAATCGCGGTACACCTCTGGATCGACGGCTCCAAAATACCGTAAATATTAGTGTTTTTAGCTCTTTTTATCTTTAAGCGTGGCCTTAGACTTTGCCGCGGCTGTGGATCATCACGCTTAATTATTTCTCTTCAAATTAGTGGGGGGCCTTTCACCTCCTCCCGGATTACGCCTGATTCTCTGCTACTTTTCGTTTACCCCCCTCCTTTCTTAATTAGTAGCGAAAAATTACGGGGGAAAAGGATAGATTTTTTTTGCTTGGAAGAGGAATGGACATATATTTATGCGATTTGAAAATTTGATATTCCGATTTACGTAATAATTTTAGGTGGTGGCTTATAAAATTGTAAAATTAATAATTTAATTTGCGGAGGGTGATATATTGGTAAATTATTTATTTTAAAAATGCGGTTCGTTATTGGAATATTATTATTATGATTTGGCAATTATTAATTATCGGAATATGGTAAGGATATAAATATATTTATATATTGAATTGTTTTTTATGCATTTGTATATATATTATTGGTTAATATTGTTTTATTTTGCATTGAAATTTTTATGGATGGTTATTATTAATTTTGTTTCTTAAATGGTATGGAAGTCGTAACGTATTATTGTTTTTTTTGTGTTGTTTTGATTAGGCGTTTATTATTGGCTATTATTAATATATATTTTTGAGTTGTGGTATTTTATGGATAATAGATGATGGAAGAGGAATTCTTATATTTTTTATTGTGGATTTTATTCGACGTATTGTTTGTTTATTTTGATTAATATTTTAAAATAATTTGAGGTTTTGGTGGCACCGGTTAATTGAGTAATTACGTAATTCGTAAAATCTTTCGGATTTATTGGTTACGATCTTTTTTTTAATATAGGTTTTTCATTTATTAATTTGAATTTCTCATAAAGGTTATTTTTGAATAATATGTTTTTAATATAATATTTTCGTAATCGTAGCATTTGAAATTTTTATGGCTTTAATTGCACAGCCCAACACGGGCTTGTGTTATTTAGGCCGGAAGTGCATGAATTAAATATTTTATATTATAAATATGTTTTTAGTTAAATATTTAAAAGGATTATATTTCTAAATTAATATAATACACGATTTTCTTTTATAATAAATAATATGTGTGATAATTTTGTGGTTGAAAATATTTATTGTGGTTTATTGGTTAGATAGTCGAAGGGGTTATAATTATCCTTTATTAGAAGTAATGAGATAAGGTTTTTCCCGAATGCGTAGCGAAGGGTTCCCGTTTATAGTTGGGGGTCTGGGGGTTGGAGCTGTGTTTGCATGGCCTGCGTCGTGTCGTCGTCTGTCGTCGTTTGTCGTCGTCTCTCGTCGTCTGTCGTCGTCTGTCGTCGTCGTCGCGTCTTAAATTTGCTGCTATTGGGGGAGGCTTTTGCAAGTGACTTTGCATAGAGGTGTCACGTGTCAATTTCCACCGCTATTCCATTGTGATTTGCATGACAATGACACGTCGCGCGAGAAACGTGATGCATTTCGCTGCACAGGCGCAGCGTTTTGTGAGGAAGCTCACATGAGATGATATTGTTACTTTTCGTGGCAGGCGTAGGACTTCGTGCGGGTTTGAGGCGTGGAAGTGCGATTCTCGTGGAA